CAGGTCCCACGGGGCAGGTCGGGAAGGCTGGAGGAGGCCCTTGTCGCCCCAGACCCTGTGCTGCCCCACCCAGGTCAGCAGGCAGCCGGGCTCACCCCGGGGGTCAAGGAGCTCGCGACACACATGACAGACACACAAGGCTGTGCGGCCGGGGTGGGGGCCCCGCCACGCCCCCAGGACAGGAGGTGCACCCCCGGGCGGCTGGGGGCGTCTGGGGGCCGCCCGAGGACACTAGATGACGGCACTCTTCTCCTCCTGGAAGGAGGCCCGGGAGGCCGGCCGCGCAAGCAGCAGCTCCTTCTCGTGCAGCAGGCTGTCCAGCAGGTCCTCCTGCCGGCAGCTGTGGTAGACTCGCAGGAACGCCAGGACGGTGAGGGCCAGCCAGGCCAGCCACGAGGCCCAGAGGCCAAACTGCAGCGGGGGCAGAGAGCGGGGTCAGGGCCGCCAGACCCGGGGCCTCACTCATTGCGCCCCGTCCCGCCCCCAGGAAAGGGACAAAAAGGACAGGACCCGCGGGGACAGGAACAAAGACAGGACAGGCCGGGGCCAGCCTCTGCTCCCTTCCTCACGGGGCGGGACGGGGGGCAGTGGGGAAGCCAGGTAGCCGTCTCCTCCCAGCAGCTCCAAGGAGAGCTGGTCTCTAATGGTGCCTCATGCGGCGGCTGGAACAAACGGACCTTCATCGGCCGTTTCCAAACAGTTGAAGGAAAACCAGTAGACTCAGAACCAGGCATGAGCCTCGTTAACTGGTTCTCACTTGTCATCCATCCTCCCTCAGTCCCTCCTGAATCTAATTGGTTTGAATTAGGGCGGAAGCTTTTTCTACTAAATCTGCGTGAAGTCCTCTGGCAGCTTCAGCTCCTGTCAGCTGGACCTACCGCTGTCCAGGCCCCCCAGAAGGCTCTGCCCGCTGCGAGAGTCTTCAGACTGGCCACTGGCCACCGTGGGCTTTGAGTGGCCAGTCTGGGCCCAGAAGCAGACCTGGATGCGAGTGAGCCCTGCTGGGTGCTGGAGGGAGTCGGCCCACCCTGGCATCCCCTCAGGGTCAGGGTCATGAGTGTCATCCACTGGGAACCAGATGCAGACAGGCCCTCACTGACCACCGACATGTCCCAACATGTCCTGGCATGCCTGCGTTCAGCAAATGCGGTCCCCAGAGTCGACCATGGTTTCTTGGAGGGCAGGGCACGTGCCCCTTCCTGCCTGGGACCTCACCTGCCTGGCAGCACCGCCTACCTGGGCAATCGCAAACTGATCGTAGAAGGCAGAGTTGTCCACATTCAGCTCCAAGTCGATGTCTTGCAGCTCTTCGCAGCTGAAACGTGAGACATCGTGGGAAGGTGACTGCCGGGCCACCAAGCACAAGAAGCAGCGTGCATCACCCCCGAAGAGCAGGGGGGCTATCCCCAAGGTGGGGCAGATGGGAGCTTTGATGCCTTGTCTGTGCAGCAGGGACCTTGCAGAGCCAGCCCCAACCTGGCCCTGGACGGTGGGGGGACACCAGGGCCGGCCGGGCCTCAGGGCCTGGGCTCCAGGGGCCGGTAGCCTCCCAGGTGAATGAGGCCCAGAGAGAGGGAGGCCCAGAGGCCCGGGCTCACCCTGGAGGAGCTGGGGGTGGCAGTGAAGGGCTGGAATCACTGCAGGGCAAAGAAAGCTGGGCATCTTTCTGGAGAAGCCCAAGGCCATGCCCAGGGGACACAGGCTCTGAGGGCTCTCGGAGGGCAAGAAAGCAGGTGGCCTGGGGGCCCAGAGGGCAGAGCTCAGCTCAGCATGGGGGAGACCCCCTCTCACCATGGAGGGGCTGCCTGGGGTGGGTTTCCGAAGAGCCACCCACCCAGAGTGCTCAACCCTTCCCCTGGTGTGCACCCCAGGCTGCAGCGCAGGGCCCCAGGGTGAGGGTGCAGGACGTCAGGCTCCTGCAGCCATCTTGTACTTTGGGGTTCCAGGTCTGCTTTTGCTGAAAGACTCTGGAGCCTATGAAAGAGGTGACCCCAGGTCCTGCCTTTCCAGGGTCCTGGCCGGGTCACTGGATGCCGCCCCTCAGGGGCTCAGGCAGTCACTGTGCTCTGCCCGGGGCCTCCCCAGGCCAGACACTGCCCCCGACTCAGGGCCCAGAGCAGCCACTCTGGCCCCAAAGACCCCTGTGCCCAACCTGAAGTTTCTGCTCCTACTGCCACCACCCCAGCACCCCCCAAACCCTCCAGGACCAATGCCCCAGCTCCCACACGGGCCGGGCCTCCGCCTCCGCAGGCAGCATCGGGCCATCTCCAGGGCCTTCTGCTGTGTGGCCGTATGGAGGCTGCTGGGACCTGGAGTCCACCCTGTGGGGTCCTGTCCTCCAACCACGTGCGGGATGTACAGGGGCGGCAGGGAGCTCGGACCTCCTGAGCCCCACTCCTCACCCAGACCCACCCCAGCATCTGTGGGGGCCCCGCTCTGGATGAAGCTTCAGGTCCCTACACTGGGAAGGGGACAGTGGCGTCACAGGGGACGGTCCCAGGGCAGGAGCTGGCAGGTGTGCACAGGTGGGGGCACAGGTGGGATGAGCAAAGCTGCGGGCTCAGCACGGGGCCCGTTCACGAGGGCGCCATCCCGGGAGCAGGGGCGGCCGAGCGCACCTGTGGGGCACGGTGCCTTTCTCAGTGACGGCGTCGCACCACATGGTGAAGCCCACGCTCACGATGGTGCTGGCGATGAAGACGAGGAAGACGACGAAGGCGCTGACCAGCAGGTTCAGGAAGGCGTACAGGAAGGAGCTACAGGGAGGACGGCAGGGCGGTCACCGGCGCCACCCCGGCAGGGCCCAGCCATGGGCGGGGCACCCCAGCCCTCAGGTTTCCAGCGGGGGCGTCGTACTCAGGTCCCTCGTGCTGGCCCAGGCTGCCCACCCGTCCTCCCAAAGACCCACGAGTGGGAACCTTTGCCCCCACCTCTCACAGAGGAGGCGGGGCCAAGACCTGAGGCCAAGGCTGCACAGCCCACCAGCACCCGTGCTGGAAGACAAGATGCCCTTGAAGGCCATCTGCCCACGTGGCCATCAGCGCTGCTGGCCTGGGCCTGCCTTAGGGCCTGCCACATGACCTGCTGTGATGTCCCCATTGAAACCTAAAAGGCCACGCTGTGATCAGGGCAGGGGTGGGGGACCCAGGAGGCAGAGCAGTGAGGACAGGGCTCATTCATGGCTGTGCTGCACTGCCCCTCGGGGTGAGGGTCTCCCCAGGGTCCACACGGGCATGGATCCCCTGGGCTGCCCTCTGATGGCACAGGGGCACCCCATGTCACCCACCAGACTCCTGCCCCACCCACAAACACCCGCCATCCGCCATCTCTGAACTGCCCCCTCGGGACCCGGAGTCCGGCCTGTGAGCCCCGAGCAGGCCGAGCCTGTGGAGGTGGGAGACAGGGAGTGTGCCATGGGGGGGCCCCGGGGAGCTCCCTCAGATGGGGCAGCTGCCCAGGCCCTCCTCTCACCTGCCGCAGGTGTGATGTGAACACCAGCCAATCTGCGGGAAGCGATCCACCTAGACACGCTTCACAGCGCACCTTGACTAAGCAAGGTCTCAGCTTGAAGCTCGGTCATGAAAGCGGCCAAGCTGCTGCCGTCCATGTGCTGCCTGCAAGCCCAGGCAAGGCGGGTCCAGGCACTGTCCACTCATTCACTCCTTCATTATCCACTCAGGCGACAGGCACTTTCTGAGCCTAAACCCCACCCCGAGCTGGGCTCTGGAGACAAAGGGATAAAAACTGCACAGTCCCGGCCCCAGGAGGCACCTAGGCCAAGGCCACCAGACCCAGCGCAAAGTACACGTCACCAGGCCCCTTTACAGCAGCCTGTGCATCTCTGGGGAAAGATCCTATGGGGGCTATCGACGCGCCCAGCCACGCGGCTGCACAGACCAGAACCGCCTGCCGCGTGGGGACCACAGCCCTCCCCAGAGCCTCAGGAAAGGTGAGGCAGCAGACTCGTTCTTACAGCCACGCCGCAATCACAGCGCCAAGGCCGGGAGAGAGGCTGGCCGGCGGGCTGGCACGCGTGCTCACACGTACACACGGGGGCTTATACTCACGTGATGGAGGTGAGACGCGTGTGCCAGTAAGACCAGCTCAGCGCCTGGCACAGCGCCCGGCACAGTGCCCGTCACAGCCCCCGGCCACATGCCAGCCCCTCTAAAGACCAGCACCCGCAGCATAGCTCACCTGAGCTGGCTGGGCCCCCACGGCCCATTCTCTGCTCAGTGTCAAGCTCAGTGTCAAGGCCGTGTTAGCTGCTTGCCTCCCGGCCCTGCCCGAGCCCTGGGGGGTTTCCTCATGTGGGGGTGGCTCTGTGGCCCCTGCCCAACAGGACCCTCCCAGCTGCTGTCCTCCCAGGCTCTCAAGGTCCCTCCACCGCCTGCCAGGAGGATGACCTGAGGGACCCAGCAATGCCCCTCCCTGGCTCCTGGTTGAGTTCAGCCAGTGGGGTGCTGGCGGGAATGGAGGTGGGAGAAGGGGTGGGCGTTCACCCCCATGTCCCTCATGGGGGTTGTCCCAGCCTGGCCGCGTTCCCCCAGCAAGATCCCCATTCCTCTCCTGGCGGCCTCTCCCACTTAACCCTCCCCTGCCCAGTCCCTCCAGCCAGGCATGGTGACAGGGACATTGCAGGCCCCTACCTGGCCCACACCTTAGTCTCTGCCAAGTGCCCTCCTCCGGTCACCAACCCGGTGAGTCATGTTTCCGGCTGGGACCCTGGCAGACACAGTTCTGCAAAATACCTCCGACCTGGGCGCTCTAAATAAGGGGTCAGGGCCTATAGTTGCAAAGAGGGGTACGTAACAGCCCACCCCCTTCAAGGCTGTCACCAGGCAGAGCTGGGTGTCGGACCCAGCTGCCCCTTTGCCAGTGTGTGGCCTTCAGCAAGTCACCCTCTGGGCCTCGGTTTCCCCACTGTAAATTGAGTAGTAAGAGCCCCTCCATGGGGTTACCATGGAAATTGAGGGGGCTCTGTGGGTGAAGGGTAGAGAGCATTGCTGCTGATGGCTCATGTGCGCACATCCCCCCAGGAAGTCCAGGCCAGGATGGGCTCGCTGCTGTCTGAGCCCTGAACTGGGCACACTTGGAGCTCTGCACACGGGGCTGGGCCCGTGTTGCCACAGGAGATGGGGGTGCAGAAGGTGAGGTCGGAGAAGCCGCTGGGTCATCCTAAGGAACCAGATGCCAGGAGGCTGCTGCTCAGGGGTCAGCTGTGTTCCCTGTGGGGCAGAGTGGGTCTGGGTGGGGCTCAGGTTGTGGAGACCATCCAGCCCACCGGAGCTGGTGCTCTGTGGAGGTTACCCAGAGCCTACACCCGGCATCTCAGTCCTAGATGGCCACTCCACTCCAGCCAAGGAGAACTCGGCGGTCCCAAGGGGCAGGAAGGGGCTTCCACAGGCAGAGCAAAGCAACAGCCTGCCCTCGGCACAGAAGCACAGCCCACGGGGACCGCCGGCTCCGTAGTGGGCCTCTGCTGTCCCCATGGGCACCCTGTCCTGCAGGCACCCGGCGTCCCAGACGTGCCAGCTGCTGTCCACAGCGGGCCTCCCTGTGGAGAGGGATGGCCAGGTGCGGAGAGCAGGCCACCAGGCCAACCCCTCAACGTCAAATCCTGCTCCCAGCACAGGGAGCAGTGTCCCCATGAACTGTACTGAATTCTAGAGAGGGTCGGGAGTAACCTTGCATTCCCTGTGCGACTGGGCGCACCCTCTGCCCGGCAGGCCCAGGACACAGCTGGACTCTGGGTCCAGCCAACCCACCTCTGAGGGTGGCCTACAACACAAGCTCCTGCAGCAGAAAACGCAACGGCGGAGACTCCCAGACACTCTGGCTGCATCACTAGGAAAGGGGTGGGACAGGGAAGGGCACCAGGCTGGGGTCACCGCCCGCGTCACCGCCCGCTAACAGCTTCTTCCTACTCCTTGTCCATTTCTGGTGAGTTTCCTCAGAACCAGCCAGTACTCTACAGATTTTTGAATAATTGGGTGTGGTCCAGAGTCTCACTTCGCCCCAGCCCCCAGAGTTCACAAGGCCACCCCCACCGCTCCCCCGTCCCCCAAGCACTGGATGGGGCAGCCCAGGACCGGGGAGCCCGCACACACAGGGTTAACTCATGGCTCTCCTGCAGCCTCTCAGGGTGCCCTGCCTGGATGTGCCGTCTCCATGGTGACAGCATCCTGGGAAGCCCTGGGAGTGATTTGCAGGCCAGGGAGGCGTGTGGGCAGGCAGATGGGCTGTTTTAACCCAGTGCTCCCCAGCCGTCAATCACAAACCGCTGCCACCTGGACGCCACGGGGCTCCCGCTCAGGCAAAGCTGCCCAGGCCCCCAGGCTCGCGGCTCACCCTCAGCTCAATCCATCTGCCCTGAAACAGCGAGCCACCCAGGAAGCCACAGGTGCCAGGTCCACTGCCTCATTCCTTCAGTCAGCAGCCAGGGTGCCCCATGCAGAAAGCTGCCCCAACCCCCTAGACCCTTACAGTCCTGGGCACAAACTGTCGGAGCCCCCCCATTTCACACAGGGACACACCCTGCATGAGGACGGAGCTGGCACCGTGGACAGTGTCTGCCCCACAAGCTCGGGACCCAACCTCGAGCCCGGCACACAAACCACAGGGTCGGGCTCTGCCCTCAGTCTCGGGTGGTCTCTGTCGCTGAACTTTTAAGACGGTTAGTGTGCACATTAGCCCTAAGCAGGCTGAGCCCTCTAAAACCCAAGTGTGATGGGCAGTGATGTCCTCGGAGGGCTGGACGACCCTGACAGCCCACGTCCATCACATGAGCTCACTAGAACCGCCCTCCTGGCCTCCTGCTGTCCTGAGCCCCGGGCTGGCCCAGCTCTCACACGCGCCTGGAGTATGTGGATTGACCGACAACTGAGCTGAACTGGCTTCTCTAGTCGACCGTCCTGCCTGTAGCGGACGAGGCAGACCCAGCCTTCCTGGGGTTCCAGAACTCATGGACACAGCAAGCCTGGGGAGCTCAGCCGTTGGCCAGGTTGTGAATCTGCAAAGATATCGGGGCCAGGACAGTGGCTATGAAGCACCGGATCTCGGGATGCAGGCATCTTTCTGTCCTTCATTCAACAAACACGAATTCGGTGCCTCCTGTGCACTGCCCGTGCTCGGCCCCGAGCACACAGAGGAATGAGGCGTATGCCCGCTCGGGGCTCATCCAGCCCAGGGTCCCCTCAGATGGAAAGCCATGGCCTGGACAGCCATGACAGCTGTGACCGAGTCCTACAACCAGAACTGCCATGAAGAGCTGACACTCGCCACAGATGTCATTGCAGCTGACGGAATGCCACCTGGACTGTGCAGTGGACAAGGTGGGGGCAGGTGGCGGCACAACCATGGGGCCAAAAATTCCTAATGGCCAAAGAGGACATTGTGCAACAGGTGTCCCTAAACAGGAGAAGGCTGGCCCCAGCCTGGGCTGCCACGATCGGAGCCTGGACAGAGGTCACTGGTGGTGGGACAGGTGGGACACCTGAACTAATGCAAAGGGAGAGAAGACCCAAGATGTTCCTTCAACCAGGACACACTGCAAGGAGCACGAGCGCCCTCTGTCCCGAGGACACAGTGACAAAACGAAGGGAGGTACAAGAACTCCCCAAGCCTCAGTTTTCTAACTTTAAAATGGGGGTTTCAAGGCAGGTCCACAGAGCTGGAGGGCACCTTCCACAAGATGACAAAGGACAGAAGCTGCTGTTTTGAATTCCCCAGGTTTGCTGCGCAGTTTGCATGAGATGGGCAGCCTTGCCCGACTAGGCCTCCTGCCCCCGCCTGCGCCCAGCCCCTGGAGTCTGTCCCAGCTCTGAAATCTCACAGCACAGACTGGGCCCTACCCAGAGAGCTGTTGGTGTCCTCGCCAGCTGGACCCTGACCGACGTGATGACACTTGTCTTATGGGGACAAGCTGGAATGATGGGCATGACTTGATGGCCAAACCATGGCCCTCACCTGGCCTATGTCCACCGCCCTCAGCTTCCCAAGCTGAAGGGACATCAAATTACCCACCCTGCTGACCATCCCACCCTCTTCCTAAGACCCCGTCTCATGTTCAGAGATACTTCTCCCGCCCCAAACTGCACGAGGACACTAGCTGGGGTAACCCCCAGGCATGGCAATGGGGGCGCAGATCATGTGTCCTCAGGACACCAGTCATCGAGCAGGTTGAGGAAGGGGGAGGCTGGCAGCAGGGGAGGACGCCACCCCGGGACTGGCCTGGGCTCACCGTGGGCAGGGCCCCCGCCCCACAGCCCCTGGAGGCCTGCCCAGGCTGGCGCGTGACTTCCTGCAGACCCCAAATCCAGAACCTTGCTGTAGGGGGTTGAGTCATGTCCCCACCCACACATGTCCAAGTCTTCAACCCCAGTACCTGTGACTGTGACCTGACTTGGAAATAGGGTCCTTGCGTGTCATTAATAAAGATGTCAGGATGAGGTCATCCTGGGCTTAGGGTTAGAGTGGTCCCTAAATGCAATGACTCTTGTCCTTAGAAGAGTGTAGGAGACAGGAGGCCATGTGAAGAGAAAGACAGAGGCTGGAGTGATAAGCTCCAGGCCAAGGAACACCAACCGGCTGGGAAGAGGCCTGGAACACATCCTCCCTGCTGACACCTCGATTGGGACTTACGGCCTCCCGAACAGTGGGAGAAGAAATTGTCGTAAGCCCCCATTTTGTGGCACTTGGTTACGTCAGCCCGGGCAATTCATACACATAGGTGCTAAGATTTCACCCCTCCCCCAGGTGAGCCACATCCCACGTGCTTCCAAAACAGGGCCAGAGCAGGAAAAGGCGAGGAGGAGAATGGGGCCAGGAGGAAGGGAGGCTGGTGAGGGCAACACAGGGCCCTTCGCCTCTGCTCCCTCGCTGGCATCCCCCAGCCAAGGTCTGAGCGCTAGTTATGGGCCTCGAGAGCTTCCCTCCAGACTTTCTTCCGCCATCACCCTTCACAGGACGGTGGGGATGAGGGGAGGGCTCCCCACTATGCCATTTCGCCTGGGGCCTGGCCCGGTCCCTCCAGCGTCCACCCGGAGCAGGGCGCGGGCCCGACGCTGGGATGGAGCTGTCCGCGGTGCTGACGGGTGTGGCCGGGCTGAGCCACCGGGGAAGGCCCAGGTCGGCTTGGAGATGACGGTGCAACATCTACGCTGCGGCGGGGAGGAGGGGGTGGGAAATGCCGGGAGCGGGAGTTGATGCACACTGGGGACGGGAAGCACTCACACCGTGGACGCGTGAGCGTCACGGTTCCCGGGTCCTGCGTCTAGACAGAGGGCAGTGTGAGCGGAATTGGTGAGGGCCCGGGGCTGGTATTCTAGGGCCTCCAAGCTCCCGGGGAGATGAGGGATGCATGCCCCTCCTTGGGGGGAGGAGAGTCCGGGGGCGCTGGGGGCACGGAAGGGGCCCCGTGCCCGGGGCGAGGGCGGTCTGCTCGGACAAGGCGGCCGCGAGGCCCCACTCACCCCTCGTGTCCTTTGCAGAGGAAGAAGAGCGTGCGCCAGGCGTGCGCGGCGGCGAGCAGCAGCGAGAGGAGGCTGGTGAGCAGGCTGAAGCGGCAGGCGGCCGGCGGGCCCCACTCCTGCACCGTGAAGCGCTCGCGCTCCTGCACCGTCAGGTTGGCGCTGAGCCACATGCCCTCGGTGAAGAGCAGGCAGCGGCCGCGGAAGTCGTGGCCGTTCTCGGACAGCGGGACCACCACCACGAAGCTGAACAGGAAAGCCAGGAAGTAGCAGACGCACTGCGCGAAGAGGAAATGGTTGAGCGCCATGGCCGTGCCTGGAGAGGGCGGAAGCGGCCGCAGGAGGCCGCGGGGCCGTGCTGGGGGCGCAGGGCGAGGGCGCAGGCCGGGAGCCCGGGCCGCCAGGCTCTCCCGGCGCCGCGCGCAGGCCCGGCCAGGGAAGCGCGGGAGGCTGCGCAGTGGCTGCGCCGGCGGGTCCTGCGCGCCCCGCCCGGGATGCGTGCGCAGCGACCGAACGCGGGCCGCAACTGCGGTCAGCACCGCGGACAGCTCCCGGGGCGGCCGGGGCGGCGGCAAGAGGCGAGAGCGGGCAGGGATGAGCCACGCTGGAGAAAGGGAGTACCTATGGAGGTGAGGAAACCCGGAGAGCCGACTTCGGAATGTTGGTAGGTCGGCTTATCAAGACCTGACTCTGCCTTTCACGGTACCAGGAGCCCCGGTGTGGGCCTCACACAGGCTGGTTCTGTGCCCCCAGCTCATTAGCGTAAGGAAAGGAGGCTGAGAGAGAGGGGTTCTGGAGGGGCGCGCCCAAGATGCCCCGGTGCGAGTGAGGGGAGAGGGAGGTTTGCAGTCCAGGCTGGAATGATTCTTCTGCAGGAGTGCTGGAGTGAGAAATATGGGGCAAGGGGGACAGAGCGCAGGAGCTGGGGTCAGTGGGAATGGCTCGGAGGTCACCCACGGAGAGATGGCTGGTGAGGCCTGGTGGTCGGGAGGAGGGAGTGGGCCTGTGAGCTATTTGCGCTTCTCCAGCGTGTGCCCTCAGCGGGGACATCTGTTACATTGCCTGACACAAGTAGGACCCAGAGTTGATAATTTGTAAGATAAATAATGGATGCCCAAGCACCTCATTAAGACAGCCTTTGTGAGTTGGAATCTGCTGATGCATTAATTAATAGAATTAATGCCTTTTCTAATTCCCTTTAAGGCTAAGGCACGTTTAGCCCAATTCCCAGAGCGAGGAAGCCGTGGTGTCGCTCCTTTTAAAAGAAACGGCCGAATGGTTTGAAATCACATCAGCATTTTTGTTGCGAGCACTAACAACTCTTTTTGTTTTATTGCCAAAGTAATGTATGCTCATTTGTACATCATAGAGATGTACAAAATAGAAAGACAAAGCCCCCTTCTCACCCCCGCCCGCCACCCCCACCCTGCCACACTACCAGAGTGAGCACTTTTAACAGCCTGGCGTCCACTTTTCTAACCACTGCTCACACACCCACCATGTACACAAACGCCTCAAACTGCACGTGCAGCTCTGCCGGGTGATCCCTCATTCAGCCATCTGTCACAGACCCTGGCCGCCTGCACACACAGAGGTTTCCTTCTTTTTCATCACTGCCCAACAAGCCATAATAATGATGACTCCACAATTAGCTATTCCTCTTTGGGTGGGTGGACGTCAGTGTCTTCAACTTCTGCTATTTCAAATACTAGTGAGAGGACATCCTTGTACACACACACTCTCGTGAGGGTACTTCTTAGAGACATTCTTAGAAAAGAAATGGCTGGTCCATGGGGCGTGCACGTTTTAAGTGTTGACAGAGAACCAGTTCCCAAATGGTATCTAACAATGTACAAGCCACCTTCATGTCCGTGTCACAGACACCCTCTCCAAAACTGAGAAATGGCAGTTGCTTTAAAATTCTATCCGTCTTACATGGAAAAACAACTGCCTTGATGTGTAAACGTGGATTTCCTTTGTCATCATGAGGTTGTGCATCTCTTTTTTTTTTTAAGATTTTTTTTTTATTGGGGAATTGGGGGGATGGGAACAGTGCTGGGGAATTGGGGGAATTCCCAGCAACTGTTGGGAATTGCTGTCATTTTTGTTCTTCAATCTAGTTGTGGAGGATGTTGCTTCACTGGCCCAAGCTGGCACCATCATTGCGCTCTTCCCGGACGAGGCAGATCAGTTGCCGGCTTCTGGACGGC